GTCTGTAGCGGGCTTTAGTCTTTGCTGCGAAACACATCTTTGTCTATGGTATTTACGCTTATTAGACATATTTGATTTTAAAAAACGATAAAATACCTACTCAGAGCCTTGTTATATTTTTAAGTATAACGAAACTATTTTCTACATAAATTCACAAGGCAACAAATAATGTTGAAAGAAATGTAATTCAAACTTCGGGAGTAAGAATGTTAAATCGGTGCTAATAAGCCTTTGTAAGGTATGCACAGCAATATAACCCATATGTCTAGTGATTAAGGGACGGTTTTCGTAAATCATGATATAAGGGGCAGAAACAAGGAGTATCGGACCGTAGACACCATATCGCTTTCACGCATCATAGAGTATTAAAGGTTAACATATAGACAGATAGTGAAGTTAATATAAATTAAATACTATATTTTTGAACAGTAAGCTCTTAAGATATTATTTGAAAGTTAATTTAAATTCAAATACGTCTATTAATCTGAATTAAGGTGAAGGTTATTTTAAAATCAGAACATTTTTCAAACTAGTACATAGTCAAGTAATTTGTTCTAGAACTATTAAATGACCCGCCCCTGTTTAACCTTTCTTATTTAGAGTGCAACTGTAATGGAGGTCAGGTTCCTGAACAGATTTCTGTAGCGAAAATATTGATAGAGATTGGCTTATCTTCTGGTTAATTAAATCACCCAAAGATGTTCAATAATCACTCACATAAAATTTAATTAATTAAAATGCAATGAACTTATCTATGACATTAAAAATACTATGGGAACAAAGATAGGCTACGGTTAATGTCCCTATTATCAACTGGTCAACATTCCTTGATAATTCTGATGGTCCAAAAGCGAGTCAATAGAAAAGAATGTGAACCGTCATTTGGTTTTTTTATAGAAACCGGTTCGGTCATCGATCCTGTCCCACAAACCCTTTGCGTCGGTTTCCTCATTTTTTTGATGTAACAGAAGCCGGTCATTTAGTTCATTCTCACACTGCTTAAATTACTTGATTGAAAGATGTTTTGTATGGATGTTTAGACATTAGAACAGACACTTAGTCTAGTCAACTAGAACTCATCAACTTCCTCCTTATCCTATTCCCGTACGGTCAGCGAAACAGGTTTTTGTCCTCCACATAAATCTATCATACGTCATCTCAGTCTTCACTCCCTTCGTGATCATGTCAGCTTTCACGCAATCCATACATCTCTTACTAGTTCGATTCTACCTCACTACGTTTTGTATTACGAGAAGCTGATATGGTTCGTAGACTTTTAAGCAGCGTTTTATATAAAACTGACTTGAACTTATATTCGAACCTTCATCATTTTATGTACGAGTAACCCATTCACTACTGACATCAAGTAGAATGTTAATGGTGAACATATGACACGGGGGCTGCGACGTCACGCGCAGTGAAAGTGCGCCCCAGTACTCTTGCACAACTCACCACACGGCTGTCTACGTTATGGGGTCTAAGTTATAAGATATCACCGGCAGAATAAATAACAGAACGGGTCATATAATGTTAAAATATCAGCGCCGCTGCAATACTACCCGCTACAGTTCCAATTGGAGATAAAATCCAATAATTTAACACAGTACAGACATCTCTCATTGCTATTTATTTTATTTTATTATGTCTTCAAATAAATAAACATAATTCCTCGCTTGTACCTTGCACTATACATTAAAGTAAACAGTGGTCTTCCGTAACAGCCGGCGCGTATCGAGCACTGCACGGTGCGTGCCCACTGCCCACTGTCCACTGCCCATCGCCCCACGACGTGACCGCGCTATGCCTCAGTGAAACTTATACTAATTACTTAAATGTTTAAATATGAAATTTATTATGTTATTTGAAAATGAAAACTGATGCATTGATTTATCAGGGTGATCGAATCTTTTATCTGCTATGAAAATATGTCTATTTGCAAAAGTGAATTTTTCATCGAATACGACTGAATTTTTTTTAAAAAACAAGCTACTAAATATATTACGTTAATGTAAAAAGTCAAAGCACTATCAGAAGAAATATTGGCAAATATTTTTATAATTTGATATCCATGAGCTAGGCCATTTTAATGAAGTTTCGAAAAAAAAGTTAATGCATATTTCTAACATAAATAATATTTTGGTCACGACCAACGAAAATGAAAAATAAGATAACGCATTGAAATCCACAAAATTAGTTTTTTACGTATTTTTCTTAGATCAGTTAGACTATGACTGAAAGCTTTTTCAAACACATTTTTTTCATAAATTACAGGAATGCGGATATCATTACCTTAAAACCACACGTAACAAAAACCCTGAAACAAATAGATAAATATTGTGAGTTCTATATGACTTCTCAAATATCGTTGACTCGTTTCCGTATTTTTGATTATAAAAACTGCAAATCATCCAAATAAAATTGAATTAAGTAGTTGTCTATGGTGTGCAAATTATTCGAAATGTCGTGAGTAAATAATTTTCAAAAGATATGACAATTTTTGTGTAAAAAAAATTTTTAGATAGATTTTCGTTGCCTTACGCGGCAAATGGAAAAGTTACATAATGAAGGATTGCCTCCCTCCTCCTTGCGTCATTTAGATTTGACATCGTTGACGCGTTGCGTCAGCGGACGTCACTAATGACACATTTGTCACTTGCTGTACAAAAAGGTCAATCATAGTGCCGTTATATGCAAGTAACGGTGACAAACATTTACCAAACCATCTGATGAAACTTTGATTTTTGTTGACTATCTACCTTTTCAACCCTGTGAATGCTGGGCATAGGCCTAAAATTTCGTCTCGTGTTTATTGTTTTTTTCGTATTCTTCGGCAATAAAAACTGACTGTTACAATTGTCTTTGTAAATCGCTAGGAGGATATTCAAATTAAAACACGAATTAGAATAAACGTTTCTGTCTCTAGCTTGTTTATCGCAAATTATGAAACAGTGTCATGTACTGAGTTGCATAGTATTACAACAACATAAGGTCTATTTGCAAATCGACTGACCTGGCCTCAGCTCACGGGGAATATAAACGACCATTGATGGGGTATAATATAGTTTAGAAATAAAACTACATACAAACTGGTTAAGCGTTCACAATAACTGTCACCAATTGAGTAGTGCCTATTTTAAGCAATTTTTGAGCAGCAATGTACGAAGTTCTACATTAACCTGACTAGAAATACAAAATCCTTTGCTATGTTGCAGTTAATTATGGAACTAAATTGTGCACATTAGAAAGTGATGTAATAAAGCGCCTCCAGGCTAGGATTTTTATATCCATAGCTAGACTATTCATACGTTTATTCGTGCTGCGATGTCAGAGGGGACAACGTTCTGAGTTGCGACACACGAGGCCCGCCTCTCGGGAGATTGCCGCATTCGTTTCGATTGCGGATGCACCGCGTGTTGCAAATCTGTAATGAGGGGCCTGAGTGCATCTAAATATTAAATGATGTGTTCAATGTTTTGAATTTGCACATCTGGTACATCTGTGAAGTTTTTAAATCTATGGTTAACTATATGCATTTGTTTTTTTAATGAACGGACACTCGTTAAACTGGCACAATAGAAAAAAAGTATTGTATATTTTTAAAACACGTTACCAACTTATAGGTTATGTTTATTTACATTAATTCTTGTAAACAACGTATAATTTGCAAATCAAGCGAGAACACATCATTATGTGTCGTGTCGTGTGTCACAGAGTATATGTTCATCGTACTAGATCGCTATGATTATGGCAGTACGGAAGCAATTTCGCCACAAGCACAGGAAGGCTGTGTCTTCCGTATGCTTCGGAACAACGCTCTCAATTGTCACTCGCCTTGAACCTTAAAGATTAATTACACAGACTTAAAATAGCTCTTCTTAATCTCAACATGGCCACGACCTTTCGTGTTACTTTTAATTTTTAAAAGCTTTAAGATTATAACTCTATCTTAATTGCTACATTAATATGTCTACGAAGTAATTATACATTTCAGAAATTGCAATATGCTGAATATTCTGATGTTGATGATTTTTCACTTAAAATATTTTTTCAATAAATTGAAGGGACGTGAATATGTTTTTAACAAGTATTTTGATAATGGAAAAATAGTTATTTTAAATCAATCAACAAGAATGTCATTGAAGTAATTATTATGAAGTTGATTCATTTTGAATGGACAATACTACCACCCTGGTGCCACCAATTTTGTTGAACCTTGTCCTCAAAATTACTGGTTAAATGCCAAATTGACATCGGAAGGTTTATTTCCTAAATGACGAGATTAAACGATTTCACCTCGCAGCGCCTGAAACGAAAAACTCGTAAATTATAGACCACAGTCATTGCTTGTCGTTGCAAGGTTCGAAAAATGTAAGAACGTTGAGTTTAAAATATTATATGCATACACTACTGCAAGTATAACCAGTTGTATTTATAACATGACAAAATTGGTGTAAAGAGATATTTATCTTAATTTTTTCGTATTGGTCAGTCAATGTCGACCACTAGATGGCGCTAAAGTATTAGGCGCAGGATTTGTATAATAATTACATTGTTTAAAACAAATAAAAATGTCGTTGAATCAAAATAGTAATATGAATAAGAAAAACATTTGTATATTTAATTTTTACATAAGTTATGATTTTATCAAAAAAAAACTGGCCATCGACAATCCATAAAATTAAAAAGATAATAAAAACGAAAATTTAGGCGCGAAACGTAAAGTGCAAGATGTGATACGAAGAAAGAAATAACGTAATTGTATGGTCTTGTCATTAATTGTAAATGTTGTGTGTAAGAATAAATAAAGAAATTATGAAAACGAGATAGTAATATTTTACATTTTGAACACTCCATATATGTATATTTATTCCCATGTATGTGTCTTACGTACTATTTCGTCGCGTTTAAAATTTGTCTAATATTCTTGTTTAATATACTTTGTGTTTTATTATATACCCACTCCTATATCAAAGTATTTAACATTTGCTTATTATTTATAGTGGAGGACGCTAGCGGACGATACACGTCGATGTTCTACTGGGGCAACAATTACTGGACTGGCTCCGCAGAACTCTGCCAGGTACTCAACGAGCAGCACGACACCAGCCCCGCTAAGACTTACAACAGTAAGTACTAATATTTTAAAAAAGAAAACAAACGTATGTCTAGAAGAGTCAAGTAATGCATACAACGGTTGTTAAACTTTTCACACAAATATTTAGTCAGCAATTATAAAAGGTACTGCTAAGGTCTCGTTAATTATGCACACAATATGCTAATTTAGTTTATGTAAACGGAAGAGGTAAAATAAACCATTTATTAAGGGTTTATTACATAAAAATACTCTAATCTCTATAGATCTTTATAATAGGTCACTGAACCCCTTCTCTTTTTATATGCAGTGCGAGTAAACACAAATCTCGGTCAGCGATTGTTTTAATGGCCGTTATCCGTAGTTACCGTTGTAAGGCAACCCAATTTACTGCCCGTCACTTCTCAAGGCGCGGCTAAGGACAAACTGCTCAATTGCCCTGTGATGCAGTGGCTTTAACTCTATCCAATTATAATTTATAGCTTTATGTAGATATTCATAAGGCATAAACTTTACTAAGTCTCATATCAACGCATATAGTATTTATGCTAAAAGTAGGCAAACCATGTGAACTCACCGCATATTAAGCAACGGCATATAATAAATATCAGCTAAATTTGAAAACAATTATTAAGTATATGGAAAAGTAAAGAAGTAGACAAAAACAAGGGAGAAATAAGTAGGCATACCGTCCATAAACCTTCCTAATCGAAATACAAATTCATCGCACATTCAGGATGTTTTTATGAAAGACTGAGATGCAGGGTAATTCTTTAGACAGCAGTATAGGTTCTGCCAATTAACACAAATGTGAATTCCATTTCTGTAGGTTGTAATAAAGAGTTGGTGGTTAAGACAAATATGTGCTGTGACCTCGCATATTGCGTACATCGTTATCTAACCGCTGAGCAGAATTCGGTCAGATCCGCACTAGAGAAATGAACACGTTCGCCTCGATGTGTTTATATTCTCTGACTCACGCTTATTAAGTAATGTTATGATAGGTTTTTCATATTATGAAACATCGATAAATATTACATCGATATTTATAAACAAGGCCATATTACCAACTCTGCAGGAACTTTGGCTAAAATCCATCGGAAATAGTATTTCCACTTTCTTTTTAAGGTTTTTTGCATATGAATGTATTCTGCAGAACTATATTATAAGATGGGTTAAAGTTTTAATTGCTTCATGGAGTATTTATACTTGTGTTGTAGAGAGCGATGGATCCATCCTAGCTGAATGGCGTGATGACGTGTCGATGTCGGGCTCCGGGCCGCCCTTCGCCACCGCATTCTACAACGCGCGCCTTCTCGTCACCACAGACCAGCACCAACTAGTTAAAACTGTAAGCTACTTCAACTTTAGCATGTAAAAGCAAATAAACAAGCAAGGAGACAGGAATATCTAACTAGGTTTTCACTCCTAGTGGACGATAATTACAAACATTTTTTGTTGATTGTACAGTCACGGAAATACGCGGTCTTCCGTTTTCAGGAAAAATTGCCTTGTTCATTGCAACACGACAAACTTCGCCTCTTTTTACACATAAATAATTACATAGCAGTGAATGCAGAGTGCAAGCAAAGGGATATTAATAAAAAAAACTAGCCGTGTTTCACCAAACGACTTTTTTAGGTACATTTATAAACTGCTTTGTATTGATTTTTGTTCCGCATCTCGTTTCAAAATGTTTAAACGATTGTGCACCGCAAATTTCTCCGCATGTAAAGCGGTAGATAGAGTAAGTGTGAAAGAATGTAATGAATTGGTAATACTGTTTTGCAGTTGGGATATTGCGAGCAGTCATAAAGAATGGAATGTAACTAGTTCTACGCTGTGTTTTTTATTTAGGTACTTTAATTAGGTATCGTTTATTCCAGCGTCGTACCCTCCACCTAGGTCTCTGCCTGCCGTACTCGTGTTCGCGCGCGCAGGTGGGCGCGCTGCTGGGCGCGGTGCGCTCGCCGGCGCTGCGCCACGCCGTGCTGGCGGTGCGCTCGCCGCAGCACGGCGGGTACACCTACATGGCTGACCCTACCTTCCAAGTTTTACTGTAAGTATGTGCTGATACTACTGCTGCTGTCGGGGAGTGTCTGTTTATTAGGGATCAACGTAAAAACTTTACCGCGCTATCATCACCTCTACCTTATTCTTCTCCCGTAGGCGCACCGGGTTTTCGTCTTTGAATAAGTCTAACATACGTCATCTCAGTCACTTCTATCTTGATCATGTCACCTTCCAAACCACCCATCTCTTTCTATGTCTACTTTTAATGGTGTCCTACATTCATAACTAACGTCTTTGTTACATGCAATTCATCGTTTGAAGACCGTGCTGAGTACTAACAGGTCATAATTGCAAATTTTATCCTAGATAATGATAATTGGAAGCAAATAACGTAACATAAAGTTATCTGTAACGTTGCAACGCACTGACGAAATGCGTAAATATTCAGGCCATCAAATCTCAACGGCCACAGCACTCGCCCGGACTCTAATATGATTTACGATTAAATTGCATGTTATGAAATATGTTTTATTAAGAATAATGACGATGTGTGCAATACATCGCGTGTTAGTAATTGATGCAACATGTAGACTAATTTAGTAATTACTGTACTATTATTTAGACGCTTCTAACAAATATATTCTCGACATCAGACAACAAGACTTAAAGTACTAACATTCGTCATTTACGCAATCTTTTCCTATTTACTCCATTTCTCTACATCTAGACTTTGTAACCCAAGTTAATACGACTATTTTTTTTATAAGTTTAAAAATAAACAAGCCACCTGAATCCGTCAAAATGGCAAAGCAAATAGTTCCCTCAGACATCTGTAATTATAGATGCATTGCTTACTTTTAATTGACGGAGGAGGAGACGTATATAATGAGAGTATTTCCCCTTATGCGTCTCCTCTACCGTCATATCCACTTTCTTTTCCTATCCTTTCCTTATAAGTTATTGGTGGAAAGATAATGGAAGTAAAATTAGGTCTCTGTATACACACTCATAGGAAGGAACGCGGAATTGCTCTCACTTGACGCTTGGCTTCTGTGTGGTCGTGGTATTGTAGCGACCATACTGTGCGCAGATGTTAAAGCGGGCTCTGCTATTGTTATCAGCTATTAGCAGTGGTAGTGCCCGCTTTAACATCTTAGCACTGCAGGGCCGGCACGCCCCCAGTAATACCACGACCACACAGAAGGCAGGCGTGAATTGGAAATAATTCTGTGTTTCGTCTGATGAGTGTGGTGCCGGAGGCCTAATTTAAGTCTCTTTCTCTTTACCACCCTTTTCTTATAAGGAGAGGTTGGGAAGAGGAAATGGATTTGACAGTGGAGGAGATGCATAGGAAGGGGAAATATCCTCTTTATGTGCGTCTCCTCCTCCGTCGGATAAGGGTAGGCAACGTATCTGCAATTGCGGATGTCTATGGGTAGCGGTCACT